CTGCATGGACAGTAATGTTCATATTGTGACTTTATGTAAGCCTGAATGACATTCATTTATAATGGTCAGCCTACCTTAGTTATAGGTTAAATTCAAAAGCTAAAGTGATTACTTTAACTTGGTTAAATGAGGGTCATTAAAATAAGGGGGGTGCCTTTAATCCTCTACTGGTGCCAGCAAAAGACAGTACTAAAAATAAACTTAAATAAGGCTCAAACACATTTTATTTGGATATTAACCCCCTTCCCAAATGAATAAAATTAAAAAGGTAATTGGAGGAGTGGCCACTTTAATAATTATCCTCTTTGTCCAATTTAAAACATTCTTTACTTGATGGAAAATAATCTAAGCAAGAAAAGAAATGTACGATGTACACCCTTCAAAATGCAAAAATAGAAACTGGGAGAAAGTAATGCATTGCAAAAAAAAGCAAAATATCAATAAAAAAAAAAAAAAAGGAATCAACCTCACCAGGGTGGAATCAGGAAAAGAGACAATCTTGTCCTACTTGTTAATTTGCTCAGTATGCTGAGTTTACAGTCCTTCACACCCAGTCAAGGAAACAGCAAAAGCAAGAGTCAGCTGAGGGTGTTTTTTCCCCAACGCAGGCTGTCTGGCTTCCACCATTGTCCTCCTTTCCTCCTCCACCAGCAAAATAAAAAAAACCCTCCCCAAACAATTTCCAGGTCCTTTGTTCTCAAAGGCCACACCCCCTTCACCTTTGTGTAGTAGCACACCTGAACCTGAGTTAACTAATAAGTGGAAACAAGAGGGCTATCCTATTCAAAACCCTCTAACAGTACTAAAGATGTTTCTCCCCTTACCTTTGTGGTGGTGTCACACATAAATATTCTGTTTTATCAATCTCCCTTGACTTGTGTCATATGAGCCATATGGTCGTGGTGATATACGCGCTGCTCTCACTGCTGAAGTTTAGCAGCAGATCGGGCGACAACAACTGTCAAATGGGGTGAAGACTTCACCTATGTAGCGCATCACAGGTGCACACCGGTGTGCTAATGGTGTGGACTAGGGCTGCAGGATACTGGAAAAAATTGACATTGCGATTTTTAAAAAAAATTGCAATATATATTGCAATATTAAAAAATACAAGAAAATAAAGTAAGAAAATTAAAAAATAGTGGCGGGGCTTTTACTCACCACAACTGCAGAGGCTACCAGCTTCATTTGAAACAGACTACATTATAGATGGTCCGTTATTTATTAATCCCTCTGTATCTTTATATTTTTACTTTTTATCCGCTCCTGTTGTCTTGATAAAGTTAATGCATCGCGCCATCATTTTAAACCTCAACACTTCCTGAATTTGTTTCATATTAAAAGCCCCTTATAACATTGGCCAAGAGAATCCCTCCATTTCCTAAATAGGCTTTTATTGTGAAACATTTGTAGGAACTTGGTTGTGGAGGATTCGGTGACTTGTATGTTCGCGTACGGTATTTCACACTCTACTCCTGCCATCTGCTGACGCTTTTAGGTGACTACAACAACGTGTCGGCTGACACATGAACAGACACAGTGACTGAACTAATAGTAAAAGTAATAAAAACAGGACAAGAATAACCCGATGACATCACACACATCGTAAGAGACAACCGGGGATAATTGGTGAGTACCACTGTGTTGTGTGTCATGTCTGTCGGCCAAGTCATGGCACGATTTTATGACTCCACACTCATGTAATGTGACAGTGACTTTCAGAATGGGCAGAAAAGTCGTGTAGCGTGTACCAGGCATAAATCCTCCTTTACCGTTTCTCCCTCTCACATGTCGCTCATTTTCAGTGTGTGACTGCAGCGTGTGCATGAGAGGGGGAGGGGCTGCTGAGTGCTCAGAGACAGAGAAACAGAGAGAGAGAGAGGCAAGCGGGAAAGAGTTCTCTCCAGAGCTGCTTTTCTGAAGCAAAACAAAAGATTACATGTTCTAAAAAAAAGAGAAAACATTGCATATTCTGCGATGCGACTATCGCACATGCGCACATCGCGATGGCGATGTTCAAACAATGTATCGTGCAGCCCTAGTGTAGACCCATTCAGGTGGACTTGTTGGTCTCTAGTGATTGGTTAGGGAAACTTGAATCCCCCACATAAATCGGTTAGAATAAACACAATGTCAGACTGAAGAAACAGTGTGAAACAAGTTGCCAATTCTGTCTGATATCAGGCAAATATTTTAGCCTCCTTAACTCTACCAGACCTTCTGGTGGCTTCATCTTTGCAAACTCAATTTTTTCAAACACAGAGAACTTCATTTTATTTTGACAGGCGGCCATGAACAGTCTACTCTTTTGTAGGGCACAGAGGTTCTGCTGTCACTTTTATTTATTATGTTTTTTACTCAACCCAGCTGTACATGGAATCTGAAAGAAACCAAAACAAACTATTTCTTTCTCTCTGATTTATTTTTAATACATTTCAGATACAGCAGCTCTGCTTTGTATCAAAACAAAAGAAGTCAGTTTAAACAAAGAAATTGACATGCCCGAGCCTGACACACTGATACAGGTGCAGGCTGGGAAATCTGACAATCTAAAAGATTATTCTCTTTTTATACAACCAAGAGAGTAGCTGAGGAGACAATTCCTGGTTGAAAAATGTTGCTTTACCTAAACTGTAAGCACAGTTTTGATTGCAACATTGCCAAAACATCCATTAAGAAGCTTTTGGCAATGTCCAACTTCTCCCAAAATATGTCACTGCCTAAAGGCCTTTAATGACATGTGCTGCAATGCAGTACTATTGTTTTGCCAATCACTACTTTTAGTTATGATGTTATTTATTTAGAATTTATATTTCGGTCACCAGAAACACAGAGACATAGTTACACTCCTAGTCACCTGGCATTGCAGTGCGAGCAATCAGACAAGTTTGACGCATAAAGGTTGTAATGGTATAATAGCTAAAATTCTAAAAATGTTGCCGTGAGGTTGTTAATAAAAACAGAGTTTTTTTCTTTTTATGAATTACCCTGTTAGGAAACAATGTGGCATAGTTGGTAAAATCAAGACCCTGCTAACAAAGGTAACCTAGCACCACACGCATGTTAAAAACACAAAAAGCTCTCTGTAACTAAACTAAACCTAAAGGAGAGCAGTGCATATCAAACCAGATATATTAAGATGAATATCAATCAACAGACTAAAAAGTTTGATGCCCATCAGACATCTATAGCAGTATTTTCCTGTGGCCTGTACAGACTTATTAATAAAGTTACTTACAGAACGAGGGCCAAACTAATAAAGTGGCATGGAGGGAGAAAAGTGTGTCATCAGCGTACATAATCACGTGACAATTCAAGACAAAATTTTAAGCCAATAACACACAAAATTTAAAAAGACAAATCCCCAAATTAAATCTTATAAATTAGAATCTGCAGTGACATGCCATATATTCAAACTATACATGATAAACAAAGATAGAAATACATTTACATTATTGCTTGACATTCAGTTATGGCTAAAGTTACGTTCATTATTTGCAAGAAATACATATTTTTTTTGGGCTTTGAACCTGGAGACTGATGTTGTGGCGAGGTGGAGCAGGTGTATAAACATAAAAGTAATGGTGAAAAAATGTCTCTCCTTCCAGTAGACTCCCAGTTGGCCACCAAAGTATTTTGACATTGATACGTGGCTAAATTTAGGTTGTGATATCAGGTGACCTAATTTCATGTCAGGCCAATTGTCTGCCAAAGTCAGCTGTAGATTACTGACGACGGTAGTATTTTGTTGGTTGAAAGTTTTGTTGTCATGTAACCAAAATCCAGTGTCTTCTAAACACCGCACTTCAAAGTCATCTTGGCGTAGTATACCATCATTTAGTCATAAGATATGGAGAACAAAACCAAACGTCTGTAAAACATCATAATGTCAACATCCACACAACATGAAACTCTAACAGTGTTAGACATTTACAACATCGATTCATTCATAGAGTGTGCCAGTAAACCCGGAACTCCGTTAGCGCTTTTAGCACTTCTGGTTCTCTCGTGTAAAAGTCAGTACCTTTTTTGAATGGGATTTTGGTAAAATGCCTCAAATAAGGTCTGTGGTTAACAAAAGCTTAAGTGAGTTTCAGGTTTTGTTCTACGACATAAAACACGTCAGTAAACACCCTACTTGTGAATTTTGAAGCTTTTACGTGTCGTAAAAAAGGTGGTTGCTAACAAGTTGCTCAATACGACTACAAACCCTGTCGGGGACATTAAACATCATCACCCCCGAACAGGCGAGAGTGCTGGCAGTCCGCTATTACAGCTTCTAATTTAGCTTAAACAATCCAATTTCCCCATTATACAATGTTTTTAAAATACGTCAAGAGTCAAGAGACCGTGGAGTAGTCATGTAGTCTGTTGAAGCCTAACGTTAGCTTTTTACTTCTGGCGATCACATTTAAGCTTCAAATACGGTACGAAAAATGTTCATATGTGAAGATTATCTCGCTGAACAAAACCTGTAAGTATCATAAACTTGTGTTAGCCACAGAGCTTATTTTCTGACATAATCCAAAACGCAATGCAAAAATCACATTCACTTTCTCTTCCGGGAACCAGCGTGATGCTAAACCTATGGGTTTTGATGTCAGCCCTGGCACATTCTATTTGGACCAAAAGTCATCATCTATTCCATGTAAGAGTCCAACGTTTTTCAAACATCATATGGACATCTAGTGCCAGCAAGGCTGTAGTCCAAACTTTGAAAATTCCCCACAGATAACAGAATGTGAACACACACAATTAAACATCATCACACACAGGCACACTAACAGGTAGGCAGTAGATAGACTCACTGTAGTGCAACACATATTTTCACCACTTCACCTCACTTGTTCTGCATAATTTCTTTTTTTTTTTTATGAAGCAGTGTCTATATTGCTCTTAATACTGTTTTATTTTTGCAATATTGCTTTCATTAAGCTGGTAGAATCCTAAATGAATCAGTCTTCTTCTCTCAGTGAAATGTAAACATGAGCTTTGAGCAGTTCAACCAAAGAGTGATAAATCTTTATTTGATTTGTCTCATTCCAGGAATTGTTAATCTGCCAATGAAATTAGTAATTACTGTCATTTGTTTGATATCAGTTACAGTGTCCAGCTGTTTTAGGAAATTACTGAGCCTTTTTCAAAATAATGATAGTAGTAGTGGGCTTAGAGCCACAGACAGAAGGTCAGACACTATTAAGAGACAAACTAACATGTTGGTGGTTTGGCTCTGTGCATGGGGTTTGTTGGCAATAATACAGACAACTGACTCATACATTAACAATTCATAGCTTCTGCTCCTTCTTAAATTTTTTAGGCCATAGCTGCAGGTTTATCAGCAGTAATTAGACTGACAGTCAAAACTGTTTTTGCCTTCTCAGCCACCTGGTTTCATCTCAATGTTTAAAGAAGACCTATTATACTCATTTTCAGGTTCATACTTGAATTTGATGTTTCTACTATAACATGTTTACATGCTTTAATGGTCAAAAAAGGCTAAAACTAAACACAACCAGATATTAACAACATCAGCAACCAAGATTATGGCTGTCCAAAATCATTCACTACTTCCTACTCACTATATAAGGAGTTTTATGTAGAGTATCATATAGTGAGCTCACCTGCAACATGAAAAGACATTTTCAGACACTACTCAGGTCATTTTCTAAGAGCTGTTAAGTACGTCATTGTTGTCACAAAATTAAAATGTCATGTAAATGTTGGCTGGTGAAGCATCCATAACAAATACTGACATGCATATTTGTGACAAAAACATGATATTATACCAAGCATATTTTCCCCAAATGAATAAATAATGTTACAAAGAACTTTGTGGCTGTTTGTGTTGTGTTGAGATACTCTGCTCTGCTCACATTAAACATATTAATAATATTACACTGGCAGACAGACAAGAAAAGCGAGAGCAGCGCGATTGGAAACTGTCCTACTAATGTAAGAAATCTTCTATTTAATCTTTGTTGTGTTGCAGTTTGTGTTACCAGTCAGTCATGTCATAACTATTTAATGGCTAACATTATACATTACACCATTACAGCACAAATTAGAACTAGTAGCGACCTAGCTTGCTAACATTAGCTATCATCATTAGCCCTACTCTGTACAGTAACTGTTAAGCACAAGAGAAGATCAGTTTACTATTTATTTTTATCTCTTTGGGTACTAACAGCTACACATTAAACCGACAGTTTATTACATGACAAAGAAAAACCTGTAAAACAAACGTTAACATGTCATTTTGGAGAGCAGGTTGATATCGAGCTGCTTTCTCTCCTCTCATCCATCTCTGTGTCCGCCCCATGCAGTCCATCCCTTTCTTTGGCACAATGCACGACGGGATATTGCTTGGTAAGTAACCATCGGTTGTGCACTACTTTTCATGGTGCATTGTGGGATACATTGAGTCCAATATATAGGGAATAATAATTCCCAAAATACGGACGGACAGCACTACAAAATGGTAAAGTCACTATATAGTCGACTATATATTGAGTAGTGAGTGATTTTGGACACAGCCTAGATGTTTCCCTGATGTTAGCATGTAGCTTTATTTAGCAGCATAGGCTACGTAATGTAAACACCTGCAGTAGCATACCTGGAACAGATAACCATATAAAGAAATCTGCACGCATGATGTCATACTGTTGCCAGACTAAAAAAGAATGTTGGAAATGAAGTGTTCAGAGTGGTCTGAAGCCTGAGGCTTTTGCTTTCAGGGATTACTTTTATATATGTTTACCTCATTATCTAAAACTTTGGCCAAGTTTAATACGAACATCCTTCATATGTAAGACACAAGAAGTGCATAAGAATAATAGGCCCCCTTTAATTTTTTCTGAACAATGTTTACTTTCCAATAGTGAAAGATAAACCTAGTTAGATTCGATGGGGATTTGTAAGGATTCAAAGTGGGTAAGTGGATTAGATTCACATTTACTTTGATGGCATCAAATCCCAACTGTAACTGCTGCAGACAAAGTGACATGAGAAGTCAGAGAACCTGCACCTTCCTGTCAGGACCACTAGATGGTGCTACGTGCTAACTGCTACATTAGAAGGAATTGGCTGCTCTGTGTCTGATGCTGCTATCTGCAAGCTCAATGTGGATGTAACCAGAGGAAGAAGAAAATGCTGGGAAGATGACAGGCAGGAGGAGGAGGAGGAGGAGGAATGACGTCATGGAGGACCAAACAACTTCTGTTATACACAACAAAACTAACCAGATCTCATGAATGATGACTCATGAGTTTCTGCACGGAAAAAAGAGGATTTCCCTGTGCTGCACTAATGTAAAAGTGTTCACGTATCTTGGGCTCTTGTTTACAAGTGAAGGTAAAATGAAGCGTGAGATGGATAGGCCATTTGGCACAGCGTCTGCATTTATGTTGGCAGTGCACCCGCATGTTGTAGTTAAGAGGGAGCTGAGCCAGAAGGCAAAGCTCTTGATTTACTAGTCCATCTATGTCTCAACCCTCATCTATTGGTCATGAGCCTGGGTAGAAATCGAAATAACGGCTGGGCTCAGCCTTAAAGATAGGGTGAGGAGCTCAGACATCCAGAGGGAGCTTGGAGTTAAAGCCACTGCTCCTTCAGGTCGAAAAAGGCCGGCTGAAGTGGTTCGGGGCACTGATCAGAATGCCGCCTGGGCGTCTCCTGTTAGAGGTTTTTTGGGCACATCCAACTGATAAGAGGCCCCAGGGCAGACCTAGAACATACTAGAGGGATTATTTATCTCATCTGGCCAGGGAACGCCTTGGGATCCCCCAGGAGGAGCTGTTGCCCCCATGACCCGGCCCTGGAGAAGCAGATATGGATGGATGGATGGATGGATGGATGGATGGATGGATGGATTTCTGCTGTCTAGTTCATTATCAAGCTCTGTCTGTGGTGAGTCTGACAGGACATCCACTTTTTGCATTAACCTGAGTGGTGCATCAACAGATGTTGAGACGAAAACAGACAACAGACCAGCTGACCTCATTTTAACCTTCCTGACGAACTGAACAAACAGAGGAAACTTTACAGTTTGAATGCAGCAGTAAACAGAACCATTCCAGCCGATGAATTTTGCTGTTTTTTTTTTTTTTTATGAATGCTTTATGAATGATGTAAGGAGGTATATATTGGATATCAAAAGGGAGGATGAAGGAAGGATATTGTCTTTTTATCTTTAGAGGCCATCAGAAAGCCTTAACATGTCAAGATACAAACGGCAGCAGACCAAATCACCCTGCAGTCAAAGTCAAATAAATGCAGCGATCTACCATCGTAGCAGAACAGGTCTGTGCTCTTTTCTTGTTTCCCCAGGTTTCAGCAGTCACATCAAATCACCTGCCGCAAACACACATTAATTCTCAGTTATTGTTGGAAAATTTTGGAAATTCTATCTCTACAGGCTGAGTTGAAGGCAAGTGGACTTCTGGAATTCTGGAAAAATTTCTTAACTGGAGAGTACATAAAACACTATTCAAACTATGGACTTTGTAGAAAGATGGACAACATGACAGCTCCCCAAAAGTGGGGATGTTAGTTGATGGGACATGGGCAAAACTGGTCGGACTAGTGTTCGGGTGGGAACTTGATACCGCAGAGGTCACTAAATCACAGACTGGCTCCAAATAATGTCAGCAGTGCAAGATGGCAGCAACCATGTCTGGAATGTTTCAGCTTTACTTTTGTAGAGTGGGAGTACAAGGAGATACATCACCCATCTTTATATACAGCCTTTGACTTAAACCCACAAAACTTAACTTTTAAAAGAATGCAAAGTTCCAAAGATGTCAAATCTGTCAGATTGAATTTTGGGAAATGTGTCTAAAATGATTCAAAAGACATGTGTTTATGGAATAGTGCAGTGAAAAGCAGAGGGAATATGATACAAATGATACACCCATTTATAAACAAACAGCAAATTTGCTGCATTGTACATTTGTAAACTGCCTTATCAGTATTAACCTTTGAAGAAAAGAAGAGCTGGAGAGATAAAAGCAAAGGAAGCTATCATCTTAGCTTCTTGCACCATCCAGTTTTATAAAACCCTGCTTTGCTCTGAGTACAAACTGCTGCACAAAAATTGTGTTTACTTTTGTCTGGTTAGCAGCTGAGCTAATTAGCTTGGTGATGTATTTTGGCAGGATAGCAGGTGGCATGTTACTAGCTGGTGCACTTCCCACAATAGGTCATGAATTAACCTCTGGGGGTCAAAACATCACCAAACTTCCAGCTAATTGTGTTTCTCGAGGACATACAGATGTATTTTCTGTGACAATTTTTGGTGTAAGCGGCGCTCAGATGTGAAGTAACTGTCAGAAGAAGAGGTGATATGGTGACAGTCTGGTGAAGGACAAACAGAAGCAGGTTTCAGTGTGAATACCGAAGGTGTCTTTCAATGTCAGGCGTGAATATAAGTCCAGATCCTGGACACAAGATGTGTGTTAATGCAGGTGGAGGGACACCACCTGATTCTTCATTGCATCCAAACCCAGAGCCATGAGAGGAGGAGGAGGAAGAGGAGCAGGTGAAGAAAGGGGAACTGAGGAGTTCAGATCTCTCTGTTCCTGTGGACTCAGCTGTTCAGGACAGTCATCGTCCCGTCCTCCATGGCCGTGAAAACTGGGCTCAGTCCGTCAGAATCAGCAGCTCAGCTCTGTGCAGCTCCGTGGAGTTCCTGGTCAACATTTAATCATCGCTCTGCAGAGTCAGCTCCAGGTCGGCACCAAACAGCTCCTTATACAGAGGAGGAAAGTGTGTCCGAACGATGTCAGGGTAAACGGCTCTGAATGCTGACAGCTTCTCTGTGTGTCGGCTGCACAGTGAACGCAATGCTGACACCTTACATCTGAGCTGAGGGGAGGAAACAAGAAAAGGACATAAAGAGAGGAGAAGGAACAAGAGGGGAGACACAATAGAAGAGGAGAGGGGAGGGGAGAGGAGACAAGAAAGTACAGAAGACAAGGGGAGGAGAGCACAAAATGAGTAAACAAGCAGAGGAAACAAGAGAGGGAAGGAAAGGTGATCAGTGCAGAAAATAAGAAAAGGAGGGGACGTAGAGGAGACAAGGAAGGAGAGAAGACAAGGAGATGAGGGAAGGAAATGAGGAAACAAAGATAGAAAACAAGAGAGGAATGTAAAAGAGGGGAGGGGCAGAAATGAGGAAACGGAGAGGATACAAGGAGATAAGAGGAGAGGGAGGATGGAAAAAAGGAGGAGAAAGAAGACAAGGAGAGAAAACAAGAGGGAAGGAAAGGAGAGGAGAGTAGAAAATGTGAAAACAAGGATAGGAATTAAGAGAGGGAAGGACAGGTGAGGAGAAGAGGGGATGGACAGGAAAAAAGGAGAGGAGAGGAGGAAATGAGGAAACAAGAGAGGGAAGGAAACAAGGGGAGTGGAAATGAGGGAGCAAGGAGGGGAGAGGAAACAGGAGAAGAGGTTAAGAGATGAGATGGGGTAAACAAGGAGAGAATGGGAGATGAAACAATAAAAGGAAGGAAAAGAGAGGAGAAAATGAGGAAAGAAGAAGAGGAAAAGAAACATGTGAGGTGACAAGAAGACAGGAGGAGAAGATTGACAGCAAAAAAAGGGGAGAAGTGAAGAGGAGACAAAAAAGGGAGAGAAGACAAGGAGAGGAGGAAATGAGACAACAAGGTACAGGAATAAGAGAGGGAAGGAGAGGAGAGGAGAGTGGGAAATAAGGAAACAATGAGAGAAAAGGAAACAAGTGAGGAGACAATGAGACGAGTGGAGAGGATAGACAGGAAAAAAGGAGCGGGGGAGGGGAGTAAGACAGGGAATAAAAGGAGAGAAGAGGAGGAAATTAGGAAAAAAGGAGAGGAAACAAGAAAGGGAAGGAGAAGGGAGGCAAGGAGAGAAGAGGAAACAGAGAGAGAAGAGGAGATAAGAAGAGAGGAAACCAGAGTGGGCGGGAAGCACAGAAAGGAGAGAAAAGAAAACATGGAGAGGAGGCAAGAGACAACCAGCAAAGACAGGAGATGAGGAGAGGAAACAAGAGAGGACGGGGGAAACAAGAGAAAGAGAAAAGGGGACAGAAGAGAAAATGAGAAGAGAGAAGAGGAGACGGGGGAGGAAGATAAGAGAGGAGAGGAGATGAGCAAAGGAATAGAGGAAAAAAAGTGGGAAAAGAGAGGAAGGAGGGAATAAGGAAGGATATTATAGGATATATGAGAAGGATATCACAAAGGAAAGCAGGAGTAAAGAGAGGACAATAAGAATAAAATAAATAGAAAGGAGAAAAGAGGAAGAGTAGGAAGGAATGGGGATGAGAGGAGCATGAAGCATGGGGAAGAAAACAGGACAGTAAAAGATTGGCGAGGAAGAGGAGAGAGGAGCAGATGACAGGTGAAGAGTTATTACACACACTGGCCAGTAAGATAGATTTATTTACTGTCAAATGAACTGGTAGGTGACTGTGTCATCTCTTGAACGTTCAGGTTAGCAGTAGATAATGTTAAAGGGATAGTGCACCCAAAAATGAAAATTCAGCCATTATCTACTCACCCATATGCCGACGGAGGCTCAGGTGAAGTTTTAGAGTCCTCACATCCCTTGCGGAGATCACCGGGGGGGAGTGGCTAGCACACCTAATAATAGCTGAATTTTCATTTTTGGGTGCACTATCCCTTTAAGATTAGGAGCAGGTGATGCATTGTGTAAACAGGGGTCCTCACAAATACAGAATGACACTGTATGATTGTGCAAAATGTTAATCCTACACTATTGTTTATGTGTGGTATCAAGCTGTGAAGTTTAAATATGTTCAACATGGATGTAGGTGATGTACTTCACCTCCTCGCCACAAGAAGGCAGTGTGAGGCCATTTTCCAACTGCTCGTCTTCATGTTTGAGATTTATATTCGACATGTAGTGTGACATGTGCTGTATGAGCAGGGACAAACTCCTAAATTTTTACACAACATGTTGATGTTTTTACCCAGTTAATTTATGATTTGTATAACAGCCATTAAATCATCACTTATGAGAATGAAACATTACAGTGAAAATCGAACTCACTAACAAAGACCAGTTAAACCTGCCTGTTTCTGTGAGTTATGGTTGTGCTCCTGTATTTTTGTTTATTAGGGTTTAATAAGTAAACTGAACCTCAAGTTTTATCTTCAGTGCTGTTCAGATCAATAACAGGTGGAATGTGTGTGTGTGTGTGTGTGTGTGTGTGTATGTGTGTATGTGTGTGTGAACCTTGTTTAGTGCTCCGTCCTCTCTCTGGTTCTTCTGCAGGACATGTTGAAGAGCCAGTTGAGTCTTCTGCTGCAGCTTCTCCACCTGTAGCTTCTCCTGCAGCCATGATCGGTCTGTGGCAAACATGCACACAGAAACTAATTCATCTTGTGAACTCAAATTAAATCTGCAAAGATGCAGATCGGTCAGAATGACTGTGGAATGAGTGTTGTAAAGTCAGGTAAACCTGAGAAGAGACGTACCTGCAGACAGCAGGATGAATGCTGAAAACAGAGCGAGCTCCTCTTCCGACAGATGCAGCGAACACATGCTTTTCGCAAAGTCAAACACTGATGTGATCAAGTCATCACAACCTGGTGACACAAACACACACACACACACACACACACACACACACACACACACACAGACACACACAGGGAAATAATGATAATTGGATAATTCAGTGATGTTCTGACTGAGGTTTGATAAACCGTGACATTTTCTTTTGTTTGTAGCTCCAGAAAGAAATAAAAATCTCATATTTCATCCTACCTTGTGAGAAACAACTATTAAGGAAATGAAACAGCTTTGGACCACAATGCAATCTAAGCATAAGCAAATAAGCACATTTCATTAGTTTAAGAGCTTACAGCATCAACTCATCAGCTAATTTAAACTTACATAGATGGTTTTACACACATTAGAGGACAGACCTGAGTAACACATTTTAAAAACACAGTTTTGTGATGGGAGAGCTGTCAGTGACAATATAAAAGTTTCCGAGAATGTCGCTGACATACAGTTTTCAGGGGTGGAAGAATTACTCAGATCTTGTACCTCAGTAAAAGCAGCAATAGTGCATTAACAATGTACAAAAGTATTAGCATGAAAATATATTTAAAGTACTAAGTAAATGTAATTATTATGCAGAATGTCCCACTTAAAATAGTGATACTGTATCATTGGATTTAGGGTCGTCACAATACTAAAATTTCAAACTCGATATCAATACCCAGGAAAATATTCAATACTCGATACCATTTTTGATACAGCAGCAAAAAATTAAGAGGCATGTCATTTTTTAAATAAAGATCAGAACAGTAACATCAATGATAACAACAAAAAAATCCCCCCATAATAAATAACAACCAGAAACAAGATCTGTCCATACAAATGTATTTATCTACAGCCCTGTTTATTTTCTGGGCTTCTGGTGAATTGGCACCATATTTTCGTTGCTGATCAAATAGAGTTGGTAGTTTAGGCTCAGGATGCTCCTGTTTCTACCTCACTATGTGATCAGAGAATCAGGGGTTACAGGAGAAACCAAACGTTTTTTCAGCTTCAATCTGTGACTTCACAGTTAACATAACTTTTCAGACACACATAATTGTGTTGTCCTGTTAAACTA